ACAATGAAGTTAAAACCCCTGTAATCATATTTTAGTAAAGTCTTCCACATGGCTTTTAAGAGAAAACAATCCATTTCTTAACTTATTGAGCAGGAAAGCCATGCTTCTAGATGCTTCCAATAACCATCCAACTACCACTGAGAGCAGTTTATTCCAGTCGCCCCTGATCCACAACTGCCAATGGTCCCATTGGTTTCAGGCCAACGTAACCAGAGGCCCCCTTTGCAGTCTTTGCAGTCACATATGGTCCTCTGCAGAAGCCACAGGAATGCCTGAACACAGGACTCCCGATTCTGCTTCTGCCTTCAGCTTCCAGAAGGGCTCCCCAGGGTGGATCTCAGTCCCTTGTCCGACAGCTGACAATGCCAGCAAATCCTTTACCAAAGCCCCCTCCCACACTGCGGGGGGGGCCAGGAGGGGGCGGTGGAGAGGCACCTCTAGCATCATCCAATGACTCAGGCCAGGGACTCTGGACAGTGCCCTGCCAGTGCTATCTAAAAGCAGAAGGGAAGGGAAGGTTGGCTCCTCAGAAAAAAAGGCTGCGGACCTCTAAATTACACCTGGTCATTGGGACAGGACAGCATTGTGAGCCTGGAACTTCAAATAGCCAGGCCTCAAAGCGACACTGGGGAGAAAATGAGGCCCAGCAAGGAGGAGGAATGAAAGAGAAAGCAGCAGTGACAAGGGAAAGGAAAAGGAAAGAAAGCTGCTAACACAGAAAGTGAGCCGGGGAAATGAAAGGCTAGGTTGGAAAACAGAGAGAGAGAAAAGGGGTGAACTCTGCCTCCTGCCAAGCTTAGAGGACACATTAGAAAGAGGCCTGGCCCCATCCTTCCCAACAAGCCTGACATGGCCATGGCCCAGGCCAGGTCCCCGCCCCCTTCCCAGCACAGCCCCTGAAAGACACTCTGCCCGCTCTCCCCCACATCCCAGCCCTGGATTAGGCTTTGTGGGAAAATTGAAATCTTGATGGCTTAGAGAGAGACCTCTAGAGCTTAATGTGCTGGTAATTTAAGCCGTTCTGGTTCGGACGGACACCAAACGGGCCCGGGCTTTGTGCCACCATTAAAGCATGCCCTCCTGGCCCAGGAGGAAGCAGCAGCTCGGCCAGCCCTGCAGGATGGCTGCTAATGGACAGAGTGAGTTCCACTTTACACCAACAAGTACCACTGGGCCTACCATGGGCAGCTCCCCAAGGGACCATGTACTAGGACAAGCGCAGGGCAGCTCACACTCCCCTCCTTTCGTCTCTTCATTTTCACAGAATTTTTAAAGGAGCAGGCACTATGGGCAACAAAAATTAGAAAACACAAATACTAGATGATATCTTCAGGTTTCTGTCATTAGTACTACCCATAAAAAGCTACTGTATATGTGGAAAACGAGGAGCTCAAAGTATGGGATACTGATGAATTAAAATAAATAACCGCACCCTCCCTGAACTAAAACCTGGGCTTTCCAAGAGCATACTTACACAGAAAGAACAACATACCACTGCACCAAAGAAGTCACTCCCCTGGTGAAGGGACTAGAATTTAACATAGCATACAGTCTTAACACCACTTAGGCCTCTGGGCAAGTGTCATATAAAAACATCAGTAGTTTCGCCCTGACTGCACTTATTTCTTTTTAATGCTTAGATTTCTCACTCTGCTGTCTTCCCGGTATCAGAGCCACAAGGAGTTTCAGGAGATGGGAGTTAAGGGGCCCCTACCACACACCAGCCCTACCACCTGCCTACTGACCTCTGAGAAAAACTCACTTAGTGAATCATATCTTTGGCTGAAGGCAGTATTTATTCTGCTCAAATGATCCTGCCCAAGGTCCTGACACCGAAAGCTGACTGGTAAAGCACGGCGGACAGCATTAGAAATTTAATGTGGCAGAAGTCTCACACCACTTCCCAGGGATTCTTCTCCCCCCAAACCTTTGCGGTTCCACTGTTCCCCATCCCTACCTTTCTTTGAACACTGACCACGTGGTCAGATAATTTGCAGTAATGATGTGTTTTCTGGGCCAGTTCTCTTGGGACTAACTAGCGATTCTTTAGCATAAGTCATCAGAGAACTAATGATAGGCACCTGTAAATAAGACATTACTCCCCAGTGAGTAAATGCAGGTAAGTCGAACCCTCCTCTCACCATAACTACCAACACTCCCTTAAACCATTTAATTGAAAGGGTTCAGAAAAATATGTTCCATCCCTTGTTTTCTGCAGAGTCATACCACAGGCTTGTTGGCCACACAGACTGTATTCAAATGATTTGCCTTCTTTGCTTGAGGCTTAAATCAGTACAAATATTCCACGTCTCCTAAAAGCTACAAAAAAAAAGTCATTCCAAGCTCACTTCCTTCTGAAGGGCCCTTTGTATATAGTGCCCAAAGCATTGTAAACTTTTTCTGGCTAGAGGCTGGAGGATAACTTATGCTCAATCCCTTGGCTCCATACTGCTGTTGGTTTTTTTGTGGTTGTTGTTTTTTTTGTTTTTAATTGCTGACTCCCATTTTATAGCCAAGCCAATTAGTAGCGTTGACCCGGCATGGGGAGCATGAAGGCCTGAGCTCAGTCTGAGAAAAACAAGAAGCGTCTCTCTCTCCTGTCAGAATTTCACTCAAGTAAGAACTGTGCTTGCCAACAAATGCCAAAGTCGAAACGATGGATATAAGAGTTCTGTACAATGCCTGGGAACACCAGCAAGCATTTGAATCTACCGGTATTTGACCGAGCAGTAGGATTGGTGGACTGACATAGGAGAGGGGATTTAAAGAAATGACTAATTCACTCATTTCATTTTGTGAGCTTTATTACCTATTTCTATCTCTGATGAGCTTAATAACAAACTCCTTTAGGGTTGAAAGGGTGTTGGGTCCAAAGCCCCATACCTGCTAAGCTACTGACTTACTCCTAGGCATTCTGAAAGTGTGGGTGAAATCTAGACTAGTTTACATGTGAAATACAAATAGCACTTATGCTCAGGCCTGCGAATTTGACTATAGGCACGTTGGTAAACCAAGCCCAAATACTCCAGGAAGAAAAACAACAACAAAAAAGCCTCAGGGTTTGAGGGAGGCTTTTACAAGAATTTAGAACGTCCATCTCTCTTTTTATTTCACTACATCTCAAAATTTACCATTCATTCAAGAATTAAAATATTTGCTTTGGATGAGCTCAAACTTCACACAAGCCTCTCATTAATTCTCCGCAGCACCTCTGTGAAGGGAGGACTGACTAACCCTGTTTCAAGGTCGAGGAAGGATGTTTCAGTGCCAAGAGAGGAGGGCCCTGCCCAAGGCTGTGGGTGGCAAAGGTGCAGGCCCAGATTGCTCCGCGGAGGGCCTCTGGCCTGTCCTCGTCCTGCCTCTCACCTGGGCCTAGTTCCCCTAAGGGAGGGCACTTCACTTTCTCAGCAGAACACCCAGTCCCCGTGACCGGAGCTTAGGGAAAACACACTCGTTCTTTTTTCCTGTCGGGAAGTCTTAACTTCTCTAGCACCAGGCAAATCTGTGGAGGTGGTATAGGTGAAAAAAAGCGGAAAATTCCCCCAAACTTTTGACCTACTTAACCGCCTTGGCAGCACACAGTTACAGTGTTTGGGGGCGAACCCTGTTTCTTTCCAAAGGAAGAAGGATTAGTTGGCAGGTTCAAATATTTCCAAAGAGATTTAGAAAATGGTTAACAATTTTAAAAAATCTAATATCCAGTATCCTTAATATTATGAGGACCCTGCAAAGCCCCTTAAAAACCACTATTACAACAAGGGGGAGGATGGGGACTCATCGGGTAAATAGTAATAGATGGTAAACACATTGTTCAGGTGGCCTGTCTTCAATTTCTTTTACAGAGAATGACTTCACTGATCTGAGTGGACGTTCACTCTCCCCAAGTGCCACCACTCCGCATTTGCCCTCCCTTGAGTGCTGGGCAGGTTTCTAGGTTTATACACAAACCAGCTTCGGCCACCTTTGCCAAGTTCTCAACAATTCCCTAAAGTTTAGGGCCGAAACTGCCCTTTATTGTATGAGATCCCTGGAGGTCCAATTCTGGAGTCAAACAAATACAAAACAAATTGGTGGGAAGATTCAGCCATTTTACCTTCTCCCAGAAAACAGAAGTTCCTAAGGTTCAACATAAAATGGACATCAGTGCATTTTTTGAGTCATAGAATCAGTGAATTCCAGAGCAGGGGGAAAACCTTAAATCACCAAATCATTCCTCTTCCAGTCACCAAAACGTCCTCCTGTTTCTCAGGAAGTGAAGGCAAAACGACCAACTAACGCTTAGCAGTCTGACGCTGGGAAGCCCACAAGCTGAGGGGAACAGGTAGAAAAGCGGAACTCTGTTCCACAAGTAACAAAGAGCAGGGGACTCCTTTCAGATCCCCGATACCCATGTCCATGTTTTGGGCACTGATTCTCCTTCAATAACTTCCCCCTGCTAAATCTCCTCCCAGTCACCTGGGGATTGGATCTCTCCCTGAAGACAAGAGGTTTCTGTAAGAGTCTGGAACCTCTGGAGAACAAGTGCTGCCGACAACCACCCACCGCACGGACACAGGGTGGGGCAAACGTACGTTTACAGTTGTTCGTATGGACAACAGTGACTAGTAAAAAAGTAACACAAGAATAAACTGTGTATCGCGTGCTTACAACCAGAAACCTACCTTTGCCCCACCCCGTAGAGGGGCTCCAAGTTCCCAGACAGTCCTTACCTCTGGCCTAAGGGGACCAGATGAGCCGCAGTGGGCGGAGGCTTCTCTTGTTTTGATCTGCTAACCATGGCTGGGTGTATGCACCTGACTGCTATAAATACTGCAGAACCGTCGCTCCACAGTTCCAAGCGCTGTCACCCCTTCGCCAGGTTGTCACAACAGCCCCCCAGGGCCTCCCCATCGCTTCGGTCCTCCTCCCTCCGTCCAGCCAACGCTGGGGGGGGGGGGGGGGGGCTCCCACGGCCCGCACCGCCTAGCTGGGCACCCAGAGTGTTCCTGTCCGCGACTAGCCTAATGCTCCAAACTTTCCCCACGCACGGCCCCGGCGCTCAGGGCGGCCAGTCACAGAACCTTCTCTCCCCTTCCTCCGGCGCGAGACTGCGGGCACCGGGGGTCCCCCTTCTCCCTCCCTCCTCTGCTCTTCCAACTCCCGCGGCGGCTGCGAGGCCGGTCCCCACGGCGCAGGACTCCTCTCAGGTTTCACCCCAACAGGTCTACGGGAACCCCAACCCGCCCTCTCCGCGGTCAGGATGCCTCCCCGCCCACAGCTCCGCCTGCACACCCTGCGCCCCCGCGCCCACCTGCAGGGCCCCAGGGCCGCCCCCGTCCCCCCTGCCTCCCGCAGACCGAGCTCAGAGCACCCAGTGGGTCCCCGGCGGCGCCCCAGGAACCGCAGCTCCAGACACAGAGATGCAGAAGCCTCCCGCAGGCGTCCACCGAGACGGGGTGTGGCGAGTCTGGCTTGGAGCCCGCCGACCGAGACGCTGAGCCCCTCAGTCCAGCGCCCAGAGGCCGCCGAGGCGGCGGGTCCCCGCGCCCTCCTCGCCCCCCGCCTCCGCCAGCTGCGCGGCGCCCGGAGCCGGAGGAGCAGCCGAGGGTGCGGGTGTGTGTGTGAGTGAGTGGCGGGGAGACACTGGTGGGTGGGCATCGGGTGGGCTCGCCGGGACCCCCATTCCTCTCCGGGGCTTCGCGCGCGCCCCCGTCGTAGCCGGCCCATCCCGCTCCGCTGTCCGCCGCCCCCGAGAGCCCCGGGGAGCCTGGGGGCGCGCACCGCCCAGGAGGGGCCCGCCCGCGCCTCGCCCCCCTCCGGTCCCAGCGCGGCCGCCCCGGCCGCCGGGCCTCACCTCGTCACCAGCGGGCCGGGCTCCGGGAAGGACCGAGCGGACCGGACCAGGCGAGACCGCACGAAGAGCGCCGCACCGGCCGCGGAGTGAGCTGAGCGGAGCGGAGCGGAGCGGAGCGGAGCGGAGCGGCGCCTGACGTCACCGCGGTCCCAACTGCAGCGAGCGCGAGTCACCTGATCACCCTGGCAACGCGCGCGGGGCGTGGGGGGCGGCGTCACAACGCGGCCCCGCCCCCCGGCCCGCCGGCGCCTGGGGGACCGGAGACCGGCGCCGGCCTCGGGCTCTCGCCTCGGGCGGGGTCGGCTCTCTGAGGCTCCAAACGGCCTCCCTCTCTGCCAGAGCCAGCGCCTGGGAGGCAGGGCGATGCCCCGAGCCCCTAGCCCAGTGCTTGGCGCACAAGGTTAGCGGCGGGCTGCTCCTCTCCGAGTGTTCTGCGGTTCAGACCCTCCTAGGCTCCGGAGGTTACTCCCCGATCTGAGCTGTACCTGGCAGGACGAGGCTGACCTGGGCAACATTTCCTCCTCACAGCAAACAGCGCAGCCTTTGCTGGAGAATGTGATCAGACTTCATTCATTCAGGAGGGCGGAGGAGAGGGGCTGGAGCCCGGGCCCAGACCTCCAGTTCTGAACCACCCTCTCCCGGGACCCCTACCCCCCCCCCCCCCATCCCCATTCAACAGAAAAGAAATCCCTGAGACACTCCCTGAGATGAGCCTGCAAGTCTTTGTGGAAAAGATTTTTTGTTTTTCATTTTACAAATTGATTTTGCCTTCAAATTCCTCCCCTTGCTTGCTATTATCATATGCCTACACATCTACACGAATTTGAAAAGATATCTGCACCACTATATTCTTTGCAGCATTATTTACTGTAGCCAAGATATGGAAGAAAAAAAAAACCAAGTGTCCATGGGTAGACGATTGGCTAAAAAAGAAGTGGTACATATATATGTATATTAATAGAATATTACTCTGTGACTTTCCGGTCTCTGGACATAGACCATCAGCCTCAAAATAAAATTCTAACACCCCAGAGAGAGAGGTGCCTGTTAGAGAGCCACTGCGTAACTCATCTCTTTTTCCCGAGTTTCATTTATATTTTTTACTCTTCTACACTCTGCACCACTATGGAGGGGTCATCTATGTTGTCCCTACCTGTCAGTCTATGGGATTTTACACCAAAAAGTTACTCATAATTAACTTCTAGTGAGAAACTTTTGGTGCCTGGCAGTGGGCAATGCCAGGATGACTGAAGCACAGCGAGTTTATGGGACATGTGTCTCTTATCCAAGGGCCACCTGTCCTGTTTATTACTTAATGGTTTTATTTAAGTGACACTTTTTGACTTTTATACATTTATTTTACAATGAAACTAGTGTATAGGGGGTGGGGGAAGACAGTTGTAAAAGGCAGAGAAGAATCATGGCTCCAGCCAGAAAGCGTTGTACTAACGGGAGAGGAGACTGAAATGTGAGTCCAGGACCCATGGGGCGGAGGTCAGTGGTCAGGGAGAAGGTAGGATCGGGGCAGGGGCAGCCCGACCTGGGGCGTCTGGCAGATCTGAGGAGGGAACTCCAATGAGATTTCTGCTCTATGGTGCCATTTGGGGGATTAACAGGGAAAATGAATATGAAAACTAAGCATGTTGCCCGGCACACAGAAAGTGCTCCAAACTGTTGGCTTTTATTGGTGTCAGTCGTTTTATTGAGGGCTGGGAGAAGAGGATAGATTCAATATGAAAACTACAGGGACCACGAGAGCTCCCCGAAGTGGGAATGGGATACAATGTTTTGTGAAAAATTCTTTGGTGGCAGAATTCAGGCCGGTCAGATGGGAAAGTGGGGCCACAGCAAAGGTGTGGTCCCAACGGGGTGAGGAAGGGCTGACAATGGAGTGGAAACAACCCCTCCCGGAAAGGAGGAAGCTGCTCAGACACATGCACAGCCAGAGCCCAGCCTGAGGAGGTGCTCCATAGCCCTCCTCAGTGAACAGCTCCAAAGGATGCATTAGTTGAAGAACGTCTTTTTGGAGCCCACAGGCTCAATGAGAAGCACTTACAGAATTTCTCTGTGTCAAATACTAGAGAAGTCCACAAAAACCTGGCTTATTTATTTTTTTAATTCTTAAAATATATTTATTTATTTATTTATTTGTTTGTTTATTTATTTATTTACAGAGAGGAAGAGAGAGGAATAGAGAGTTAGAAACATCAATGAGAGAGAAACATCAGCCAGCTGCCTCCTGCACCCCCCCCCCACCGCAACCAAGGCACATGCCCTTGACCAGAATCGAACCTGGGACCCTTCGGTCCGCAGGCCGACACTCTATCCACTGAGCCAAACCGGTTTTGGCAAGACCTGGCTTATTTTGATGTCTTCCCCAGCACCCCCAACCCCTACCACCACCACCAACAAAAAAACACATGTCAAAGGAATGCCAGTGGATGTGGTCAGTACATGCACAAAACCCAGAAAAAAACCACTGGACTCATTTCTCATGCCGGGTATCAAAGGAAGGATTACATTTCTTCTGTTGTTTCCTAGCTCACTCTTCTGCTGGGTTCTAATGGAATTTCAGGTTCGTGTAAAGGAGAAAGAGGCAAAGTGATCCGTTTGCTTCTGGCTGTGGTTCAAGGTTTGATTTTCACCTGAACAATGGCTCTCACAGTTTCTTTTTCTGGTCTATATTTTCAAATTCCAAATTGCTAGTCAGGATGTCTCCATTGCTAGTGACTAAAAGGCTATTCAAATTGGTTTAAGAAAGAGGGAGAGAGAATTTATTGGCTCATGACACCAAAAACCCTGAGGCGAATCTGAACTTCAGGCAAAGTGGGACCCAGGCACTCAAACACCGGCACCAGGAAATCCCAGGCTTTCTCTCCCTCAGCTCTCTTTCCCCCAGCATTTTCCAGCAGCCCCTCTGAGGGTATCAGAATTACATTCTCACAGTGAAAGATCCTGGCAGACAAAAGCTTTCTGTTCCCCAACAGTCCTAAGAAAAGCTCCAGCTTGGAGCTTAGTGTTTGCACTGTATTTGGGCAACTTGCTTTTCTCTGGATGCGTGGCTGCTGCCAAGGGATATGACACCTTGGCTAGGGGTGACTCCTCTGGAGCCGGGCGGTGATGTTAGCACCCCCTCTCCCCCCCATAGCTCACATTTGAAAGTGTGGAATAATAAGAAAAAAAAATCTCACACATAAATTAAAAATAGCCTGTAAGTCCATTTGCATTTATAGAATGAACCAACAATAATTTAGCAGGTAACAATGATAGATCCTCCCTGGGCAGAGTATGACGTAGCCTGCACCTGCAGCCTGGAAATTCCTGAGCACCCAACCAGGCACCTTATATGGATTGTACATTGAACCACCAACCAGCACCTGCCAAATACCCTAAGCCCTTGATTCCTAAGTACCTAAGTGCCTAATCACGTGCCTTATATGAAGCCACCAATCAGTGCGTGCTGAGTACCCTAAGCCCCATCCCTCCCCAGTCCTCCCCTCAAAAGGTGTGTTCCCCTATGCACGTGTTGCTGTTCTTCCCTTGTGAGACAGCCCAGCAGGGTCCTTCTCCTCTAATAAAGCCTGCAGTCCTGGTTTTCGGCCTCTGTCTGATCTTTCAAACATATGAAGAATAAGAATTCAGGAAACCATTAAGTTCACATATTCATGCAACACAGTTGCTAAGCGCCTACCATGTGCCAGGAACTGTACCAGGCTCTGAGGGTGTAGGAAGAAGCAAAACAGATTTTTAAAAATCCTTGCTTACATGAAGCTTACATTCCAGTCAGTGTGTCTATCTGCACACCATCTTCAAGCCTCCCCTGTCGTTGAGGGAACATAGTACGTCGTCGATAACACGCAGGGCAGACTCTCAGTGAGTGCTTCCTCTGGGCGCGGCTTTCCCCTGGCGCTTCCTGGGGATAAAAACAGGCCTCAGACAGACGCAGACCCCTGTTCGAGAGCCACAGGGAATAAGTGGTGGATTCAAGACTGACACTCGCACCTCCATCTCTGCCTTTCACCCTGCACCCTCTCTCAGGGAGTGGGTGGGGGTTATGCGGAGGGGTGGGGACTACGGCAAACAGGAGGACAAACTGTGCAAAGGGAGCCTCTGTTACTCAGCTCCAGCCACGTGTCCAAGGGGAATGTGGTCCCCTGTGGCCAAGTTTTCTGAGTTTTCAAGAGGAGCCAGCAAACAGGATTTTGATGTGAAAACCAAAAACACTGTGAAAGCCAAAAATAATCCAACTGGGCACACTTCAGGCCACAGGTCTGCCCCTCTGTTGGAAGCCACCCTTGGCCAGGAGGGGCCCTGGGCAGGTAGGATTCCAAATAGCAACCCTGAAACTAAATATGGGCCAAAAACAAACAAACAGACAAACAAAAACCCCTGCAAATATAGCTGTGGTCTTTGCATAAAGTGTTTATTTCTTAGGTTGATTTTAGAAGGCCAAGGTAGGAAAGTGGTGCCCTTGTTTACCAGAAAAAGCAAAGTTCTTCATGAAAGGTAAGGGCCAGTGAGGGAGCAGTTGGCGCATCCCAATCCCCTCCTGGGGGAGGTCGGCAGAGAGCCATCCTCCGCTGGACAGGCCACGGGAAAAATCTAACTTCAGCGCGGCCTCTGTGTTACATCTGAGTCCTAATAATGATCATTATACCGTCAGCGCACAGGACAAGGTTCAAAATAAGTCACATTCTCCCAGCTCAGTGGTCGGCAAACCGCGGCTCTTGAGCCTCATGCGGCTCTTTTGGCCTCTTGAGTGTGGCTCTTCCACCAAATACCATGGCCTGGGCGAGTCTGTTTTGAAGAAGTGGCGTTGGAAGAAGTTTACGTTTAAAAAATGTGGCTCTCAAGAGAAATTTCAATCGTTGTGCTGTTGATATTGGGC